GTAAAGGAGTATCTTGAATAAGTCCCTCATGTTTAACCCACACTTAGTCCTTTCAAGAAACACAAAATAGTTGCCATTCCAATGAGAGATCAAAGACCCTGAGAATTTACAGGACTTGTCCAAAGCCACACAGCCACCTGTAAGTGATGGTTTTGTCACATGGATCCAAGTCTCTGGCCTGAAAGTCAGCTTTGCTCCATTAAACAAAATACATCTTTCCCCTCACTTTTTACCCCTTCAGGGCTTTTTCTTGAACTTCTCTTTCTGACAAGAGTCAAATCATCCATTCGAAGATCTCAGACAAGCTTGGCATTCTAAGGTAAACTGTCAGATCTCATTTGGTTCACATCATCCACCACTTGTTTATTCTTCTTCCTCTAAAATCTTCCTTTTCCAAAATCGAGAGTTGAGAAAACAGGCGATTTCAATCACAACAAAAATGTTATACGCCATTTGACAAGAAAATATTTATATATTCATTGGTAGTGTTAAATATACAGGTTATAAAAATAGTAGAGTGGTATAGCAAAATTCCTTAGTAAATTCTGTCTTTCTGAGAAGTCAAGTCAAATCCATGCTGGCTCTCTAATCTCTGTTTTTAGGAACCTATTTTAAAATGCTTTTCCAATAATCCAACATTTTCTCAGGGATAATCCCAAGGGCAGGATAATCCTTAATGTTCCCTCTGTCAGTTCAGCCCCTTAGTCACAGTCGCCAAAGCGTAAAATCACCTACAGGAAGCCAAACTGCCCACCACTACTTTTATCCAGGCTGGGATTTCCTTCCCTCCCAGGAACACCAGCTTGCCTGCTTTGCATCCACTTGAGGTTTAAAATAAGGAACATGCTACAAATCTTTTCTTCAAATTCTCTCCCATATTAAATTTTATGCTCTTAAAGAAGTGCAGACTCAGTCTTGAATTTCTCACTATATTGAGACTCTCCAATCTCTTAGGATTTTACATTGCCTACAGACATTCAACATTTAGGGGAAAGAAAACTTCTCTATTTTCTATCACCAGAATGTGCCCATTCTTCCCTCACGACGGTAATTGCATCCATTCCTCTCTACTAAACATTCATCCCAAAGGCTGCAGTTAAAATCATGCTCACTCACCACTGTGGCTGTTATTTTTTTCCCTAACCGTTTTTCAATTATGCACAATGTCATTTCATTCTGACTCTTACCACAGTCTATTCTTAGTTCTTTTGTCCTCTCTTTTCCTGCCTGTCTAGATCAGTGCAGCCAAGCCCCTCTTCATCTTCATCCACATGGTCCCATGGTATCTAGAGCAACGTCTTCATTTCACCTCACAACTGCATTTTTTAGTCAAAACGTTGACTTATTACAATGCCGTTGTAATAGCGTTATATGGGGACGGCTGGTAGCGACTCTTGTAATGATCTGGGCATGACATACAGAGAAACTGATTCACTCTGTTGTACACCTGAAACTAATGTAACCTTGTGGGTCAACTATCCTCTTACTAAAAAGACTTATTAAAAAGACCAGCCTATTTGGTGAAGAAATGTCATCTCCATTAATTATTCATTTTCATTTATCTGTGTTCAATATACTTTTTAAACAGAGAAAAGCAAAAAAAGAAACAATACACATCCAAGTATTTACACATGCGATCTACCCTCCAAAATCTTGCAACAAAAGTCACTTCATATGTAAATAAGATTTCACCCTTCAAAATAAAATATTTATTTTACAACATGAAAGGAAATACTGTGGATCTCATATAATCATCATAAAAATATGTCTAATCATAGAAAAACAGCAAGTCATTTGTTCCAGCTCCTCAAAAATATTTTAATCATGCAAAATCAATATAATGTACTCTAACATAATGCTAAAATGTTAACCAAGATGAAGTGGCTTTTATTCATTTTACAGGATGTATATTTGGCAATAGTTTTTAAAAATAATTACTCTAAAGGAACTCTAAATATATTATTTCAGAAACAATATTTTAAAATACAGCAGTCGGCAACAGAAACTATTGTTCTTTATACATTTTTGGCATAACTCTGCCATATAATTACAGAATTATAAAACAAGTGTTTCATAGTACCATACAGATCCAGAAACTGGTTACAACTCCTACCACACACACATGGTATTGGTACTAACAGACATGCACAGCATTCTGTAATTCATACTTCAGTAGAATACAGAGCACAGAGAAGACCCAGTGGCTGCTGGACAGTGAGAGCTTACGTGGGAAGTACACCACACATCTTTTTAGGAATCATACCCATTTTCCTGAAGTACCTAAAATACAAAGGACACGGTAGTTTCCAGAGTAAAATAGTGCCAGGACCCAGTTGGCCATCTATCTTCTTAAGTAATACTAATGAAAGGCCAATAGCTTATTCAGGAAAAGGGAGTAAATTGTCTTTTTATAAAAATGAAAAAAAAATGTTTATCAAAGGATCAGCTAATGCTTTGCTCTCACTTCTTTGTCTTAATTTTAATGCTGTACAATTAATATGACGTCATGTCTTTTATGGGAGTTAGTTACTTCATTTCTAGACAATCTTGTTACCGAATCCTATCTCAGCCAGTCCCTCAGTTTAATTGGTTAGTAAAACCACCAACTATTGATACACACTGGCAAAGAAATTAAACTTGGTACCTGATCATTTGTCTACTTCTACCCCTCTACTGAAATGTTTCATTCTACCATGGAGTGGGTGGAAATCATGGTTCAGATGAGAGTATTAATGGGATTCTGTTTGCACACCAATCCCTGATCTCCTAGGCAAAAATAACATAGAGCTAATTCTGAAATCACATCCCTACCATAAAGCTTTTATAGATCATTCCTCATCTGCTCCCAATAATTCTGTCACTTGTACAAACTCATCATTGGTTATATCTTTATTTCTGTAGAAAGTTTCGTGTTACTGTTTCTAATCTTTTGTTCCATTTGTGTTTTCCTTTTCTTCACCTGAAACTAAATTAGCCCCCTAAAAAATCAATGCCCATTTGACCAATGAGTATAGAACTTGAACATTTCTTAGGGCCAAGATTATTATATAACTAATCTCTCTGTAATGTAAATGTAAACTGTTCCATAAACTCTGCTATAATTTAAAAATGAAAATGTGATGAACTTCATAGCTTAAATATATTTTCACGAGGTTTCTGATTTTTTTTAACAAGGTCTTCAAGCCTTACAAGTAGGCATCAATGTCTCTTCCCTTTCAGTTCATTTTTAAAATACACTGAGTCATTTTATAAAAACTTTTTAGTATTTAACCTATGAAAGAACAACCCAAAAGAATTTTTGATTGAAGAACTGGGAGGAGGGGTGGGCGGAAATGGTATTCCGATGTTTCCCAAGATGGTTATAAAGATTCAGCTACGATTTACATAGCAGGTGTCCAATTGCTCATAATTTCCTAAATGACTACAAAATGGTAATAAATTATAACATATTTTGTGAAAATCGATACCTATTAAAATTGTATTTGGAGTCCAAGTTAGTCCACCTTCTTCAGAAGTCAGCGATAGTGGGGCTCAACACCCTCGTGATTCCGAGGAAGCTCTGAGGACCCATCATGCCTTTGGAGAGACTGGAACCCAGTACCACTGTACCAAGACGCCCACCTGATTCTTAGTCCCCATTCTCGACTCTACTTCCAGGCACAGTTTGAGCCATAAAACAAACACTTAATTGTATCCTCCACATGAAAACTTCAAGCAACAAACATATTAAGAAGCTATTTCCCACAAATAACTAAAACAATAACTCTGAACAGATCAAGAAAAAAGCAGATGACAAAGAAGATTCTAATCTAGGAAAAAAAGCAAAAACAGTGCTTTTTAAATGTTTCTAACAAAATTAGTTTCAGATTCCTCTGACCATCTACTAGAGTTAAACTTTTAAATAATTCTCTTAATAGATTTCCATTTTCTGCATCCATCTGCAGCTAAGAGTAAAATACTGATAAATATTACTTGTAGTAACTGAGTAATGTTTAAAATGAAAATCATAGCATGTAGCAAAATCAAGCAAGAACATACCTAAGTGTACCAATGTAGTTGATCTTTCTTACTGTAAACAATTTCTGTCAAATAAATGACATTGTTGAACACTGTGGCAAGTACACTTCCTATGCTATTGTCACAAAGGGAAATTTCTCCAAAATGAAAAAGCACCAACGTAAATTCAGTAAAATAGTGATATTCATGGTTTGGAAAGTTCCTCATGGCATGATTTTACAATGGAGTAAAAATCTAAACTTCTGAATGAAAACCATTTACATCAGTTAAGGCACATCTGGACACCTCCAGGCATTCATATTTATAACTATATCATTATTAACTTCACTAATAAGGGATTTTTAAAAACACAGCCTGTCCCTGAACACAATCTGCTGGGTGGGCTGGATAACTAGAACAGGGAAGGAGGCAGGGTAGTACTCACTGTCACTCTAGAGATTACCCCCACACAAATCTGTTCATGTCATAAACACTACAAAAAAAGTCAAAAGAAGCCAATATATGTAACTGCTAATGTTCTAGATCCTACACTGACCCTGTTTGACCCATACTCTGGAATTCTCTTAGTAGGAAACAAATTAGAAGTCTTCAAAACCATTCCTATAACAAAGGACTCCCACTCAGCCCAGACAGACATGAAAGACCCATAGACGAAGCTACTTTCAAATAAAATCAAGAATGTCCTTTTCTCAGATTAGAAAATACAGCTTCTAGAAGAACCTCAATTATAGAAACACAAAAAACCTGGTTGATTAAGTTACTCAAGAGAGTATAAACTCAACCACAACTCTATTTTAAAACTTTGGGAAATTTAACTCTATACAATTAACCAAATAGTCTCTATCTATCAGTTCAACCAGTTTTTGACCACTTGATATGGAGTTTACCTACTAAAATGGTTTTTTAAAGAGTAACTCAGAACACTGGCACTGTTTTTCCTTTTTCACCAGATCATATTTTCACTCAGATTAAAGCATAAAAGCTAGAAGCAAAGTAGGTAATTCTATACAACAAAACATGAAACATAATGATAATGATAGGTGTTAAATGACATTTTCATATATTTATATTTTTAATACTTAGCAAAAAAATCTTAGAACTTCTCTAGTAACTCCTGAGTTGTATATTTTATTTTCTACTTGAAGCTGAAAAAAGTAGTCTCAAAACCTAAATTTAAAATAAAACTATACAAAATAATTTTTGAACTGAGAACTAGACCTGATTTAGAGAAAGCAGACACATTTTCACTTCTATCATGATTCTTCTGAGTTCCTTATGAGATTGAGCATGAAACTGTATAATGATACAATATTCTTAATGTTATAAACTTTTCTCTACTGTACAGAAATATATCTTATAATTATATATCACTTTACAGTATTTCAAAATACTTTCACATATATTATCCCCTTAGAGATATGAAAGCACAAAATATTAGAAATGTACTAGACTAACCAAGCGATATAACATCTATTTGCCATGAAATGCAATTTAATATTTTATCAATAGCCAATGTTTATATCCTCGCAGTCCAAGGTACAATAATAAAGTCTATATATTTGGAAAGATTCAATAATGTTTCTAGCTATTTGGCCATGCTTCATTGCATTTTTAAAACAGCTTCTCAATAAATTTCTGCAAGCATATGGTAGTTTTTCAAAATACAAAATATCAGCGTCAAACCCAGAGGGCTGTTTCATATTTAAGACCCACATAAATACGTATCTATAGATCTTATTTAAAAAACTATTAATTGTACAAAGTATTCTTTATAGAAAAAAAATTTTAGACACTCAGTTTTTATTTGCAAAAGGAATGACATCTCCTCACTTGTTCTCTACTGAAGAATTCTCTCATAAAATATTTGCAGATTAAATGGAGGAATTATACTGTTACATATGAATATGGATCTTAAAAATAATAGTGGGAAAAGGCCACTGTTTTAAATGGAAGCCAGGCAGTTTTTCCCTTGAGACTAAATCTTCTCCAATTAATTGGCATAATCTAATCAAACCCCTAATTAGGAATAATATTCTAAAAGTTAAATTGTTGAATGAAATGTTTTACCTGTAAGGGCTCTGATACACTACAGTTTCCAAGACATTCAGATTATATCCATTTATTTTTGTCTCTGTCCACTGTTCTTTAAATATTTTAATATCTGATCACAAATTTTTAGCAGTATACACATAGAAAGCAGTCTGAACGCTTTATCATGTATTCAGATTTGGTAAGATATTTTGAATTAATCATGTTCCTACAATTCAGTTCAATGTGACAACTACTCTCACCGTCTAACTCTGAAAACTGTTTATCATCTCTATGGGGACATTGCTACAAGCACCACATTAGAGGGTCCATACAAAAACGAAACCGAAATGCAAAAGCAGAATTGTTTCCCCAAATCTTTATGTTCACTTCACAAACAATAGAAAGCAAAAATTGGGATGTTATGGGAACCAAAAATGAGAAAATACTCTAGATTAATTGGAATATGATATACAAATTGTTTCTAATATTCATATTTAAAAAGTCAAGTTTGAGCAAATGTGATGTTTCATGTAAACTTCAAAGCAATAAAGTATTTCTAAAGGCATACTGTTGATATATTCTCTAGAAATCTTTGGCTGGAAATCCCCTGATCATAAAGGTAACAGAAGATGGTATGTTATGACTAACAATTAGAACATAGTAAAAATTCTCTGGTGGTTAAAGTGAATCTAAAAGCGCAAGAGATATACAAAAGCCAATTCTGCTCTAAATGAAAGTGAACTTTTTTCTATTAATTGCTTTAACTATATTTGTACGTATGCTTTGAAGTTCTCACCACAGCATTTCTGATTATTTTCTGATTTGTAATACTAATTAATAATAGTAGTAGAGGAAATAAAATTACTTCCTCTTAACCAGTATCAAAACATCAAGTGCTTGCTAAACCTGAGGATATGGAATTTCAAATCTATTCTCAATTTCGAGGTTTCACAACTTAGAGATACAACAAATTTTTTTTTTTAAGATACTCTGGACTAAGTACTATTATTAATTTCATAGCCCACAGAACACTGAGATAGTCAAGGATTAGGGACCACTACCTTGTTGACAGCGTAAGAAGCATGCCGTTTAAAAATGAGTAATTTCTTTTCTTATTTTTTAATTCTTTAGTCATTTGCATTTAGACACAAGCACCAAATTTATATGGAACAGCCATAAAAGCAAAATCCTTCTCTTGGACTTTTGCATCAAAATTAGTTTTTAAGCATTTAACATAGAAAGACATTTTTATTAATTTAAAAAAGCAAATTCTTGATGATCATACAGTTGAAAAGTGCCTTTCTGTTCCATTTAAATTTCAGTACAGGGGATCACCTGAACGTACCCAAGAAACACACATTCTGGCTGACAAAGATGGCAAATGAGGGCAAGTGCAGAGAGAGGGAAACAGGAAAGGGCAGTGAGGACAAGAAATGGGCTGGGAGATTATAGCTCCCCAAGAATATAAATCTCACGTACCAGAATTTAAAAATAAACATATTAAGGTGTTGTAATGATGAGTCCAAATTACTCTATGAATATATCTGAAATGACCAAATTGTTTTTCCAGCTTAAGAAATAAATCCATAAATTGGCAAAAAGCATGGCAACAGGACGAAATTCATCCTCTTGCTTTTCTTTATGTAGACTGTAATCTCCCAAGGAATTTATTTGATACATCAAATACTACATGATTATTCCCAGATACACTGAAAATCACTTAAAAGCAATCATTAGGTACAGAATTTGAAAAGTCACATCCTAAAAGCATTACAGAATACATTCGTTTATTGGGTCTTGCTTAAAACTTCTTACTAAAGATTGAATTCATTGTCATCCAAAATGAAAAACCAGCAAAAAAAAGTTGACAACAGAAATCAAAAACAGATGGGGAAAATCTGCAATGTGCCCTCCGTTCTTCAGGAGACCCTATACAGTTCCTCCTCCCTTACCTAAGCTGGGGTGTGGGTTCTCTGATAATTCACTGTGATTGTCCATCATCGGGAGCACCTGCAGTTCCAGGATCTTCACAGTCTTTGCTATGACTGTCACCGTCCTCCTCTTTTTCAGGAGAAGCTGTACTCTCCTTCTGCTCAGTGGGACTGGTGACTGTTTTTTCCGGTTCAGAATTTGAATTTTCGCCATTACTGTCCTCTGTGTTTCTCGGCTTGGTAGTTTCACCGCTGGGCTCTGCACTGGGCCTGTCTCTCTCCTCTCCAGGCCCTCCAGGTGCCGCTTTTTTTTCTTCGGCTGTTTTGCCATTTAAATGAACAGCTGAGGAGGAATTTTTGGAGTCCTTGGATTTTTTGTGCATAGAAGTTTGACTGATGTGACCGGAGGTGGGAGGGGCAGGCATTTTCTGGGCTTTGCCTCCCCCGTCTGACTGTTCTTTCTTCGGCGGCCCCCAGATAAAATTCTCTGAAGGCGTGTAATGTTTCTGGGCGAAACGCAGGAGCTTTCTCCTCTCTCTCCTGTCTCTAATTGTATAAACAAAATACTCCAGAGCACTCTGTTTAATATTGGGAATAGTATTTTCCACAAGGGCTTCATGAAGAATAAATTTTACAAGAGGAGATTTAAAACTTTCATATCCAAGCTCACCAAGGCTTTTAAGAATACGAGTGATTCGTAAATAGTTGTGCTGGGACCTGAAAGAGAGGATTGAATAAAATGTGTGTGTTGGCGGGGGGTGGAAATCAGGTGAAGAAAAGCAGGGGAATGAAAAGTATTGGAAAAATATTTTTTAACTGAACAAAGACTTTACTGAAAGTCCTATCAGACACCATTGGAAGAATAAATTAGAAGTTATTAAAACCTTATACTTCAATGTAATGGCAATCTATACGACATTCAAATATACAATATAAATTCCCCTTGTTACTTTAATTTTTCATGTTTGAGAAATATTTAAATCTAAAATTTATTCCCACTGATGTTGAGCTGTTGTTTCCTAAGCACACTGAGGATGTGGTCTACTAGGGCATTTATCTGCAACATTACCAACTGTCCTGCACCCTCCCAGGTAACTGGCACCAAACATAAAAGCAAAATGAGCTTTCAGCTGAAGGTATGACTTACAGTGTCAGCAAAATCCACCATACCACCCAACTCATAAGGACAGCACCAAAAGCCACTCTACCTTGCTAGACAAAATTGTGACAAAGGATGCAAAACTGGTCTCTCACAGAACATAGTGAGGAGCATGGGCTTTGGGGACACACCTGAGCTCGCACCGTGGCTCTACCCCCCACAGCTACATAGGTTACGGTATCTCTCTGACTCAGTATCCTTATCTGCAAAATAGGCGAAATGGCCCTTCCCTTACTGGACTGTTAGAAGAATCAAATGAGTTGAGACCTATGCAGAGCACACAGGACTCAAAAAATATTAGAAACTATTTAAAATTCATATTGTGATTGTTATTATTTAAATGTGGTACTCAGAGCCACCTATGTGTACCTTTCCCAATTTAATCACCTAATCGTCTTCCATCCATGGCCTCTGTCTCCTTTTTCCCAGAGAATTTTAAATTTTGCTTCTAATGGCAAGGACTCCAAAGATGCCTTTTTCCCCCATCCCCTTTTTCCACCGTCCCCAAACTAAAGCTGTTATCAGATGAAGGCTTTCCTCACAATTTTCCTCACAAAGCCTCTCTCTCACAATTCATAACATATTTACCCTACGTCACCGGGCAATAGTTGCCTTATTACAAATACCTGGCTGCCTCCTCAAGGCTTCTTCAGCTGCACAGATGATTCAAGCATCACCAACAGCCTGGGATTGATTTACCCGCTACTGATGCACAACCATACCCACCACTTATTTCTAACTTCCGAAAACCTGGTTTTGTTTGTTTAAAGATTTTATTTATTTATTTGACAGAGATCACAAGTAGGCAGAGAAGCAGGCAGAGAGAGAGGAGGAAGCAGGCTCCCCACCGAGCAGAGAGCCCGATGCGGGGCTTGATCCCAGGACACTGGGATCATGACCTGAGCTGAAGGCAGAGGCTTTAACCCACTGAGCCACCCAGGCACCCCCCGAAAACCTGTTTTATACACCAGACACTGAACTTTATACAAGCAATGCATACACCTGCTTTCGTTTCCAAAAGTATTTGCAATATTTCACTTAGGAAGAACTAGTAAATTATCTGGGAAAAGTGAAGAAGGATGTGGAATTACCTGAGGGGCGGAAGGGGATGGTTCCACAGTCTCACATGTTAATAAGAAAGTTTGTCTGGGCAAAACAAAAACCTTAATGATTCAGGCTAGCCAAACCTTGGAAAAGACAAGCACAGCAGTTTTATCATCCTTATTCTCCTGGATGTTGACCACAAAAGTATTATCCTAATATTCGACTCTTTGAGGCCAAAGGGTAAAACACAGCAGGTATGTTTCAGTCTTAAGAATCTGTATTTTTCAATAGTTAGGAAGTAAAAATCTTCTAAGGCAAGAGAATTTGAATGAGGTTAAGACAATGTGCCATTAACAGCAGAAATGACTTAGTGTTAGGTTAGTATGGAGTTTCTATTCCCCAAAAATTTAGGGATAAAATCCTTGAGCAATATCTGCTTCTATAAACCTGAGAGAGAAATGCATGGAAAAGTGGGGGGAATATTTTTCTTTAAAAATCCCAAAGATGAGTTACATGATCCAACAAAATGTACTCTATTGCAACCAGCTCAATTACACATATCTAGTCCTAGACCAAGGGCCAAGATGGGATTTCTGTACACATTTATCCACATCTATACACTCTCTGATTTAAAATATTTATGTAACAGTAGAAAAGGACAAAAACTTGGGTTGAAGAGAATAAAAATGAAGATTATGGAACAGAAGTATACAAGAAAGAAACTGAGTGTTTCAGTTATGATTTGAAATAAATATGACAAATAAAGACAAAATGGAAGAGAAGAGAGCAGATAAAACCCTTCTAATGTTGTGAGCAGTCTTTGGGGTTGCATAGCAGATAAAAGAGAGAAGCTGGGCTTCCCAAAAGAAGTAAGGATGGTAAATAGGACTGCAGGTGTCAGGAAGACCAGGTAGGTGAAGAGAGAACACACAGGAGGTAGAAAATAAAAGTGAGAAGCAATTCCAGGGTCTAAAGTAGGCTCCATAATCTAAGGATTTGTATCCTTATCCTTTAATTAAATTTGTAAATTTAATTTACAAATAAAATTGGAAATACATCTGAGTGGTTGGTCTACATATCTGTACTCCCGTGTTTGAAAATATTTCAGTTCTTCTATTCATGGTCACTTGTTCACTAAACGTTACTTCATTTCACTTTCATTCAATACTTTTTTTTCTGCTGGGCTACTATAAATATATTGAGTTTCCTGCCTACTCTAAGAAACTCAAGATGCACACAGATTAAAACACAAATAAAAGCTCTGTGCAATACCCAGGGAAAGGAAAATGAGAGACAGTGGGTGGTGGAAAGAAAAGGATCTGAATGGGGCAAGGGAATCTGATGGTTAATTCAGGATCCCTTCCCCTGACCTAAGCCAGGAGATCATTTTAATTAAAACCTTCAGAAGGGATCTATTTCCAACTATCAGTTAGAGAATCAGAAAATAAAACCCCAAGGAGGATTTAAGCTGGCAAACGTCTTTTGTTCATTGTTCGTTTGACAAACATTTACTAAATGAGATTGCTGTTCCAAGCAGAAACAAGAAGCTGAGGATGGCGATTCTCTAAAATGATGCTCTTGCTGCTGTCCTTCATGTCAGTAGGCTACTTGCAGATAGCGTTCGTTGACAGTATGACAGAAGGCTTTAGAAACTCTGTCCAGAGACAGCTATCCACATTGCTTAGGCAAAGGCATATATGCTTCTGCTCTAAGTGTCTTATATAAATCAAATTTAACTTGAGTTATGAGTTACTGGATCTTGTACTCAGGATCATAAAGCTTTATACCTGTATCGTCGCTGTTTTAGTACAAGCTGCCATTTTAAAAGTGTTAACTATGACTAATAAAGTAAAAAGAAGGCTTAAACATTAATACTTATACTCATTTTAGCAAAGCAAGATGAAAGTTCTGGAAAACACCAAAAAAATTCAGTTAATTGATGCCTAAAACTGTTGGGCAAAGAAAAATTTCCTAGGTTATTTTTTTCCCCCTTGGTATTTGCCCAGCTCAGCTAATTATAATGTGCTAAAAAAAAAAAAAAAAAATGCTTTAGGGCGCCTGGGTGGCTCAGTGGGTTAAGCCGCTGCCTTCGGCTCAGGTCATGATCTCAGGGTCCTGGGATCGAGTCCCGCATCAGGCTCTCTGCTCATCAGGGAGCCTGCTTCCCTCTCTCTCTCTGCCTGCCTCTCTGTCTACTTGTGATCTCTGTCTGTCAAAAAAATAAATAAAATCTTTAAAAAAAAATGCTTTAAAGTTGTTGGTTTTATGGTCCAATATTCATAAGTCACCCTATAATTAAAAAGAAAAAAAATCATTTTGCATACAAAGAAAATAATAAGAAAAATAAACTTTGGGTATAAGTATTAATGAAAGTTATATATATCCAGGCAAAAGAATACATACAGTAAATCAATTCCAAATAAACCATATTAAAATTTCCTTCACGGGTTTTAGGATTTAGTAAGCAAAAGTGGGCTTTTGTTTTTACCCAAATAATGAATATTCTAATTTTCCCTCTTTTTTAGTAATGTACAAACACATTTCAGTCTTTGTTATTGTTGTTATGTTAGTCACCATACAATACATCACTAGTTTTTGATGTAGTGTTCCACGATTAATTGTTTGTGTACAACACCCAGTCAGTGTTCCATGCAACCCATGCCCTCCTTAATACCCATCACCAGGCTCAACCGGTCCCCTACCGCCCTCCCCTCTAAAACTCTCAGTTTGCTTCCAAGAGTGCACAGTCTCTCGTTGTTCTTCTCCCTCTCTGATTCCCCCTCCTTCACTTTCCCCTTCCAGTCTACAAAATGGTTTTTATATGTCATAGTCTTAATTTATGGATTTAATCTAAGAAGATACCATGCCCAACGAACAGACCTAGCAGCAGGAAGCTCACAACCTAGCAGAGGAGATGTGGAAAGCTGTATACAAGAAATGGGTAAGAGTGCCAGGAACCATGGTATAAAGAGGGAGAGAGACCCCACTTGGCCTGGGCAGTAGAGAGGTTTCAGGAAAAAACAGCTCTGAAGAGGAATGGCCTTATTCCAACCTACAATGTCATTCTTTCTTGTTGTTTTGTTGTGCTTTAGAACACAGAACAAGGAATAAAATGCATTTCAGACTAGCTTTTCAATTCAAATTTCTGGTCCATCTACTAGTTTTTCCTATGCTCCATACAGAGAACTCCAATCCAGAAAAAATAACATGCTGGCCCCTGATGCACTCTGGGGCTTTACTTACTCATTCAGATGCTGAAACCTTTCCTGCCAGTTAACGGCCCGAGCAACATTTCCAGTTTTATCAACCAGTTTTATTCCAAAAAACTCTAACATCATCTTATAAGCCAGGAGGAATCTTTTAATTGCTTCTTTTGTTTTTTTGAATTCCTAAGGGGGCGAAAAAGTCAGCTGAAATGATTCAGTAGTTACCAGGACAATAAAAGAACAATATTATTTGAGCCATCTCCTATAAAATGAAATGAGCTTGCATTACCTCAATTTCATATGTAGTTAATTCTTTAGCATAAAAGTTCAAGCCTTGTTCTCTCAGGGGGAAAAGCCTATTTTTTTGAAAAATAATATTGTTATATTAATGTTATCTGGAAAACATACATGATTAAATAGGACACGGTTCAAGATACAGAAATGTAACTGACCATTGAATATAAGTGTGGTTGTGCTCCAGCTTTTCATAATCTCCTTTCCACTTATTTAGAACTTCTTCAATGTAAACACCTAGGCAGTAAATATTTAGAAGATGAGCCAGACATTTAAGACATTGTTGAAGGCATTTTAACTTTTAACCACTTAATCTTTATATTAAAACCTTTGAAATTTAATAATAGCACACAAAAATTATGCCAAGAAGAATATCCTATGCCATATACTCAGTTATGTAATAGGCCTAATTTTTTAAAATTCTATGGTACCTTGAATTACAGAAAGTTCTATCCAACAGTGTTACTCTAAAGGAGTTGACAAACTATGTCACTTGTTTTATAAATAAAGTTTTATTGGAACACAGCCATGCACATTCATTTATTATTTTACACAACCACAGTAGAGTTGCAGAGGTGCAACAGAGACTACATGGCCCACACAGCTGGAAGTATTTCTTATCCATCCCTGGACAGAAAAAGTTTGCCAACCCTTGCCCTAGATGGTCCTAACTTCTTTAAACACAAGATGGGATCAAGATGAAATGTAGCCCAGGAAAAAAGAAAGGAATAAAAGAAAGGTGAGAGAAGAGAAAGAGAAGAAAAGCATGAAAAAGGAGAAGGGAGGAAAGAAAAATAGAAGAAAAAGGATCTATATTACAGAGTATATATCATCCAGCTTAATCTTCACATAACTCTCCCAAACCAGTGCTACCATCCCCATTTTACTAAAGAGGACATTGTATGATTTGTCCAAAGTCACACACTGACAAAATCATAAATCTAAAGGTAGAATACAGGTCTTTCTCATTCCAAAAACTAAGCCCTCTTCACCACATCCTACTGTTTCCCCATAAGAACCCATTACAGTTGACCCTTGAACAACATAAGTTTGAACTATTTTTGTAAGAATACAGTACATAATGCCTATCACATACCAAATATGTGTTAATCAACTATTTATACCTCTGGCAAAGCTTCCTGTCAATAGGAGGGTATTAGCAGTTAAGTTTTGGGGAAGTCAAAAGCTACACATGGATTTCTGACTACACAGGGTTTAGCACCTGTTACCCCTACACTGTTCAAGGGCCAATTGTAGAACAAAACCTTCCTGCTTCTCTAATTCTATCTAGGTCCCCACAATTGACTATGTGGCCCATTTAATGAATTTTACAGAAAAAAATACAACATATTTCTCTAAACGCAACTCATCTTATTCTTGCTTTCACCAGATACCTTCTACCAGTTTATGGTAGAAGTCTACTCATGGAAGGTTGAGTAAGAAGTTGTTTTTGAATCATACTCTTGGCCTTATCAGAATTTTTAAATCAATTATCCCTTCCAACTATCCCTCTTCCTGCTTAATAATTAAAATACATCATTGCAGGCTTATGCTTACTGGCAAGTGTATGTGTGTTGCAGGGGAAGGATATGTGTGCACATACTGGGGAAGAAATCGGGTGAGTTTATGTAACTTATATAATAAACTAGAATAACACTTTATGTGATCTCAGATAAAGCTTCTGACCCCTACCAACCCCATAAGATTTCAAAATAAGTTTTGTGGTAAAGATTACAAAAAATTAATGCAGTGCTTGAAGTTATTACTTTAAATTACTACCACAAAAAAAATTCACTACTAGAAATACAAAAATAATTCAGTTAAATACTGTCATGTTCAATGTTTTTAATATCTGAAGGCATTCCTTTAGGTAAATTTTATTAAATTCAAATGGGAGTCAAATTAACAATCTATCATTGCATTTCTTCAAACGGTTTTCTTGTCCCAGGTTCTAAAAAAACTAATAATTTAACAAACACTATTTCAATTAGTAAATAAAGCAGTGTGCTTCTATCCTTAGTAAACACAACAGAGCATTTTTACCCAGAGGTTTCCTCCTTAATTAGAGCAGATTTTTGGGACACCAGAAAATTAATTAAAGACAAGTGGATCTGGCCATTGTGACAATGTTCTCCTGTCCAGACTCCCAACTGTCACATATCTCAGTACACAGTGCAGGAATTCCTCATCCCAGCACTCCTCCCAGTCTTTAGATAGCCTTCCTCCAGTTAGTTCACCAAAGAATGTAGTCCTGCTACTTGGAAAGCTTTGCAATCTCTGACCCTCATTCCCTGACTCACATGCTGTGGATCTGGCTCAGTTTCCACTAAGAACAAAGAGCAGAAGCCAGGGCCATCTGGTCACTTCAAAGAGATAAGGGCGAGAAGGAGAGAAGCCAACTTTGCTGGTTTAACCTGGATAAAATTAGGATGCTCATCACGAACCACAGCACGAAGCCTCAGTGAAATATGCATATTACCATAACGGATGCATCCTCTCCTTATAGGGGGAGAATCATAGAAAAGATTCTATGCGGACAGTTGTACACTTGCGAAGGAGGAAGCAGTTTACTCGGCAGAGGTGAATGGAGATCTACCATCTTTGGAGTTCCCTTCCTAGAGTATGAGAACACTGCACTGGGACTGCTGAAGCTCCTTGAATTAGAATTAGAATTAGATAATTCTAATAATTATCTATTAATTCTAATATAAACATTACTTTTCAGCTATGTTCTAAATAATTTGGAGGTATGGTGTGGTGAAAAGAATACTGGCCCCTGGATCCTAGACCCAACTCTGCAATCAAGTGACCAGACAAGTCAGTCATCCAAGCTTTAAGACCTAGTGACCTCATCTTTAAAATGAGGAAGATTAATTTGATCTCCTCTAACACTTCTTAGTAACCTAATATTCTATGATTCTATGAATTTATGAATCTCATCTCTTTGCCTCTCACAGAAGTGGCCCCCACTAACACTATCATGACCCCCACCCTGAACAAGTGGTGGGAAAGTATTGCTAATTCACAGTTATTCCTCCAGAAATTGCCAAATGGATGTTCACAACTCTAGAGTCTAGGACTTTGGGGACACGTTAGCCTATAGAGCAAAGTAAAGCCAGTCAATGAATAAATGCATTAAGAAGGTACCGACCACAAAATAAACAAAGAACAACTAAGCATATGTTATTATTTAAAGTTTGCTTTTTACCAGGGTAGCAGATTACTTACCATCTGGCTTAAATGGAATTTTATTCTTATAAAAACGAAGATTACTCAAGTCATTTTGATATCGGATATCTTTGAAGTTCTGCTAAAGGAAAAAAATAAATCAATCTCCAGCATATGGACACAGAAAAAAGGCACAAGGACCCTTCTTGCATGTTTGCTTACTAGCAGCACAAAATAAGAAAAACAGAGAAGGGAAATATTTTATGTTTTAGAGAAAAACATTCTATACTCTTACTGGGTACTGATGTCGATATTTGTACAGGTCCCTTGCAGCATAAAAGCTTCTCTTTGGTTTGGTAGTTGCTTCAGTGGAATCACCACCCTAAAATAAAAAGTGAAATTCCATTTACATGGTGAAGGAAAATAATCTGAGAAATTTCTAGAACACTTAAAATAATGAACACCCATAACGAAAGCCTGAAAAGTATCAAGCTGTTCAGTGTAATGACAATATAAGAAATTTTCTTTTAATGATGCTTACTACAACATTTTTTGGCATTCTATTTGCCTGATTTGAACCCAATAACATTTGTCCAATAACATAAGGTGTTTTACTGAATAAAAAAACTTTATTATTCACCAAGAACCTATAGAGGCCAAATGTTCTAGATCAATATTCAACAGAAACAGAACTCAAAATGAATTTAAGTCATTTACTTTACCAAAGGTCACACAAATGATTCTATGACAAAAATTTTAGAATACATAATACTAGAAAATTGTTAAGATAATAAATCAATTCTACAAAGAAAATTGTCACTAACTGCAACATTTAGCTGTACTTAGAAGGAAAACACAACTTATGAAATGAAAAGGGGATTTTTAAAACAAATTAAATAGCTTTCTAAATTCCATCCTTCGTAGCACCATAACAAGTACACACAGGCATGTATAATCTGTGACTCCAGTGATAACACAAGGTGACATAAATCAGCAAATTTAAAATATATATACACAGAGTAGTAAAAGCTCTCAAATGAAATGAACTTCAGATCGTAGTAACTTATATATGGTAGTTTATCCATACTATGTAAATTCTAAAAATTTTCAACACCGTGAATAATTTTTAAAATGTAAGATATGGGTCAATGTAATCAGTTTCATGTCTTTAACTATACGTACTATTAGAATGTCTAAGGGAGTGCCTTGTGTCCTGCAATCTGCAGAAGGACAATAAGACAGATGATAACGATGAAACAGAAGACAAAGTTTAGGTCTGAATATTCATTAAGAGCTTCACCCCCTCCCAATCCCTTTCTCATCACCCTCCACCCCCATCTGTGTTGACAGATTAGCATTCTCCAAGCAATTTTCACACCTTTTGAAGTGGTGTGATTCTCACTATTACTACAAGTATAGAGATACTTACTTTAACACCAAATTCTCCGATGTTTAACATTAGCTACTCTGTCATGTTACATAAGCAAGGAAAGCTTAAATTCTGGTCCTTGCCACACGTTTCAAAATAGCTCTGCCTAGCAAGTTTCTGAATCTATTTAGCCTGAGCTACAATCATATGAATCATCATCCTACATTTGTATAGAAAGCACTTTTCCATTTACAAAGCGCTTACATGTATATTATTTCATTTGATTCTTAGGACACACCTGGATGGCAGTTACTAGTGTTTCCAGCTTAGAAACAAGGTAGCCTGGGCTTAGAGAAGTTGAACAAGGCCCCAAAGCTCAGTGAGAGCACAGAACTGGAATCCCAGGCTTAGGGCTGCAAGTCCAGCTAATTAGGCATGAAGCCATTTCAGCTCCACTAAAAGTGAAGGAGCATGATAGGAACCTTGGTACAATGTCAACAGCCCAAGACTTGGATTGTCTTAACTCTGCTACTTATTTGTGAGGCGTTAAGCCAACCACTTAACTGAATCTTGGTTTCATCTTCTGTGAAACAAAGATAATGAGTCATGCCCTTACCTATTTCCCAGGATTATCGTGAGAATGACTGTATCCTCCAACCTCTAATGTACCAACCTGCAAGTATCTGACCTGTTCCTCCAACTTCTGCTCCTTTTGGAATCTCTATCCTGTGCCTTTCACCTGCTCAGCCAAGGATTCTGTTCCTTAATATATTCATTGTTCCTATTTCCTGCATCATCAAAATTTCTCTCTCTTCTGGATCATTCCCCTCAGCAGACAAACATGCTGTAGTATCTCTAATTATAAACGTACACAACATTCTTTGCCAAATCCCCCTCAAATGCAGCTACATAGCTCTGCTCCCTATTACAGTAAAATATCACCAAAGAATTGTACATACCCCCTATCTTCTCTTCCTCTTCTCCCATGACCCACCACAATCAGGCTTTCATCCTCAGCATTCCATCTAAACAGCTCTTTCAACGTCACTAACAAATCTCCATTTTTACCAAACCATATCTCAGTGCTCAACCTGGGCATCTTCCCGGCAGTGCTGGCCAGTTCAATGCCTCCCTCCTTCCTGAAACACTGTCAGGTGCCACACCTCTTCTGGGTTCTTCCAATCTCATTGGTTCCCCTTGTCACACTTCTCTTTGGCTCCTCCTCCCCTTCATATGTTCTAAATAGAGCAGTGCCCAGGGCTTAGTTCTTATTTCTCACCACTCCTTAGTGACCACTTATCTGCCAGGACTTTGTACATCACCAACAATATAAGTTGATGATTGCAGTCCTGGACTAAGGCTCCATCCATGGATATGTTAAGAACTCCACTTGGACGTCTAATAGGATATAAAATTGAAGAGAATTCTTGACTTAACCTCTGATGATGCTTTTTCCCCAGACTTGCTGATCGTTAATGTCGCCATCATTTGTCAAATCTTCACTTGAACTAAGAATGAAGGCAATGAAGGAGGTGAGAAGTAGTCAGACTGGGATAGTCAGCCTAAAGGTAGGTCTAGTAGTACTTGCAAATGACTACCAGGAGGGGCAACAAATGGAGCTGACAGTCAAAAAGCAACATTAAAGAGGAGATTTTTTTTAGGGAAGTTAAATGGTGACAGTAACAAGAAAAATAAATCATTAAAGGGGAAAAGGGAGGGCTGCTGTGGTCTACCATTTCTGTCACAATTAACTGACTGAAACATTAATTATCCAATTGTTTTCTATAGATGGACCTAGTTAGCTGGACTGAATCTAAGCTGGCGTTTTTTGATATCCCAAACTTCTCTGAGACGGTTACTTAATTGGGAGACAAGAGAAAGGGAAAAACTGGCGTACAGCCTCTAATACTTTGGGAGAGGGCTGCTGAATGCACAACGCAAAATGACCCATCAGCAAACCAGGACACAAGGGGTCCGAGAGCTAGTCACAATTCCAACAGGTTAAAGGTTCTACATTAGTTACAAACATACTTGGGCTTGTATCATTCATTCTCTCCCTGGATGTTCTTGGGCAAGCTCCTCATACTCTCTAAACCTCAGTTTTGTCTCAAATGGGGAAGAAAACAGCAACTTCCACCCAACCCCCGAAACTGCAGGTGACTGAAATAACATAGTTTAGCGTACAGCCTGCACTGGGACTTTGCTTCCTCCTTACCTACACAGAGATGATCATCCAGATTTATAAAGCAGCCTTAGCTGTAATATTTGGGTTCTCCAGCCAAGCACCCTGTGGTCATATTTGACTTTGGGCTCCATTTTTTTTCCCACTCTCATTCCTCCACAGCTGATAAAGAGGAAGGCCTAATGCAGAACCACAAACCTTTAATGCCTCCAGGGCACGCACTTCTTTTAGAGGGTGGCTTATACCATTCCTCCTTTTTGTTTTCCGAATTATTTTCAGTGTGTCAGAGGTTAAAAGGGATAGTTATCCCTTTACTAACCTCTCCTCCAAATGATATTAGGCAAATGATTTAAGCACAGCTGGAGCAACAAGTCTCTGGGTGGTACAAGAGTTTTGAAGAGTGCCCTGAACTCCTCAGTCGAAAGGCCTTACTTAGGGTAAGAATTGTGGCGTTTTAACTTCGGTTGGGGACCTTCCACAATACTTGAATGGCTATAGACCCTCCTACAGGGGAGAATGCTCGCTGCTCCTTAGTTGCAGTGCCTCCCTATTCTGGGTAATTTTTACCAATAACACGCACTAGACCAGTTTTCACAATCCTCTATTTTTAGACAGGTTCCTCCCACCCCACCTTCGCAGCACCCAGCTGCGCTGCAGAGGCAAAGAAAACACCCATTCAAGTTGGGTTCTGCCGTGAGAGACTTCCTTGTCGTGCCCGCGGTCAGGCCCCAGGCCAGCAGGGGACGGCTCCGGCGCTCCCGGCCACGGCAGGCCCCCCGGGTCCGCGGGGCAGCGAGACGGCCGCCGGCGCGGAGGGGTCTGGCCGCGGAGGATCGGCAGCCGCCGGCGCCCCGGACCCTGTGCTCCGGGTCGCTCGGCGTTTGCCCCTGTCCCCGGCGACGTCCTTCCTCAAGGGGCAGGGGCGCCCTGGCCCAGCCCGAGGCCACCGCGGGGCCGCGTACCTGCTCGGCGCCCGCCGCCTCGGCGTCTTCGTCCGGCGCGGGGCCGGCGCGGGGCCGCCCTCCGACTCGCTCCGGGGGCTGCGCAGGCTGCTCGGGCTCCTGCCCCGGGCCCTCGCCGCCGCCACCCGGCCCCGGCTCCTCGGGCTCGGGCTCCGAGTCCGTCTGCCAGGTGGAGTCGCAGTCCTCCACGGTGGTGGGTTCGCGGAAGCTGACCCCGCCGAGCAGGTTGCCCATTGAAGAGGCGGCGGCGGGCGCGGGACTGCGGGGCTGCGGGGCGCGGGACGGGGCGCGGGGCGCGGGGCGCGGGCTGCGGCAGGCACGCTAGGGCCCGGGCATGGCCTCGGCGAGGGCGCTGGGCGGCAGCTTCGGCCCGCCCGCCGCCGCACTGCCTCAGCGCGGCGAGCGGCAGACAGGCACACTCGCGGGGAGGAGCCGGCGGCCCCGGGACCGCCGCCGCCAACGCTTGAACCCGCCCATCTGGTTCCTTCTCCTCCCCACCCGCGGGAGCCGACGCCGGCGGGGAGCCCCGGGGAGCGAACTGCCGCCGCTGCCCGCGCCCGCGGCCTCAGCGCCGCCGGCCCCGGCTCCGGGGCCACACCTCGCTGCCCGCTTTCCACCCCGGAAGGCCTGCCTCCGCCTGGCCTTTGACGTCTCCTGGGGAGGATCGGGGTCTGCTGCTCGTCCGCCCCTCTCCACCCCTACTCGGGGCAGGACCACGGGCATGGGGCCCCTCCCAGCAGAGCGGGAAGAGTGGTCCCGCCCAGCCCTGGAAGCCGAGGGCTGGGGTGGACGTGCTGTCGAGGGCGGTGTCACAGTCCGCGGAGAGTCCCGTCCACACCCCCTCCTCCTCTCCCGGCTGGTCCGGAAGAAAGATGAATGAGCCACAGCAGAAGAAGACCAAAGCTAATGGGCACCACAAGAACAGAAAACCCAAGCTACCAGGACTATGTATTTAGGCCAGCCACCAAGAGTCCCCACGGACGAGATGGAGTCAAAGCTCTGTCAGCTCATCTGATGACCAAATATCTCTTGAAACAAAAGGACCAATAACAGCTAGACTTCCCCATTGATCTGTGGAATGTCTTACCATCACCCACTCCACATCCATGCCCTGAGTAGAAGAAAACCTCAGAATTGTAGCCCTCTTGGTCTGTTCCAGAAATGAAAGGAGGAAAGAAAACGTGTTACAGAAATACTTAAAGGTAAAAATAGCATGATCAAATAAGGAGCCCAGAGCAAAGTGGCCATTGCAAACTTTGTGTTACAACCTTTTACCAGGAAGGAAAGCCTCTTGAAAGCAGTCACGTCAATATGTACGCCAGAACTTGGTAGGGAGTCAGTAACATTTGTTGAATGGGAACTGAGAAAATAGGTTAGATAAATAAGATAATATCTCATAAATTGGTATACTTGAAATATGTACTTTCTTCTAAAGTATTGCATGATAAAATAGGAGACTGAGTCAAGGCCAGTAGTCTATTTCTAGTGGAAAAATCAGGTGCACAGGGTGCCCAACCTACAGAGAAATCAAGATGGCCTCTCTTCAAGCATGCTATAAGAGATCCCAGCTGCAGCTCTGTCCCTAATCGGATTCTCACCTTGGACAGGTCGCATAGCTACTTTAGACCTAAATTTCATCTATAAAATACAACCAAATTTTATATCGGGGTCCTTCGCAGCTCTGACCTTCTGTGGTCCATGACTGGGAAAAGCTCTAAAACTAATAAATAATAGACACCAGATGCACAGAAAGACTTTTTTTATTATAATGGCTCAGTGAAGAAAAAATGGAGCAGCAGTAGAGCACATGAATCCAACTGCTCATATCTGGGGATTTGGATTCATCTTCAGTTGGCAGAGAACCAGAGCACATTGCAGAAGTAAATGCTGTCCATCCAGCCATAAGCATTCCAGACAGAGGGAGTCTAAGGATAGTTGCTATGCCCAGGTGCTCCATCAGTTGGCCTAATTGTATGTAGATTAGAGCTGCCTTATATTCTTTGCTTTCCTCCCATCAAGAGACTCTAATTCCTTAGCCCTTAAATTGGAGCTGACCTCAGTGACTTGCTTTGGAAACTAAGATAGAGAGGATTTTCAAAAAATAGAATATCTCGAATTTTCAAGGTTAAGCTACAATGAAACTTGCATCGTCTACTGAGTTGTCTTGGAACATACTCTCTGGTAGCCCTGAGCGGCTCCAAAAGAATTTTAACTCTAATGAGACTGTCATGCTGGAAAGGCCACTGTGTATGTCTTTAGGTCACCAGTCCCAGCTGAGCCCTGCCTTCCAGCATCCCCTGCTGAATCCTGCTGACTTTTATTGGCTCCTTCAGACCAGACCATCCACCAACTGAATACCTCTCAGTGACCTCCACTGATGCCATGAAGAACAAAGGAACAACTCAGCAGAACTCTGCTCAAATTCCTGACCTTCAAAATACTGACATATAATAAAATGACTGATTTTTAAGTTTTAAGTCATTAAGTTTTGCAGGGGTTTGTTACACAGCAGTAGATAATGGTACAGTGGAAAGTGTCTGCATAAGCCTATATGTGTTTGTATACATAACTGCTACAATTAAATCCTTACCTTCCTGCTACCTTTTGGTCAATATATCAAGTTTTTATAGGGCTATAGATTTTGTGCCAAGCTGTGCAATTTTTTTCTAAAGAACATAATTTTATGTGAGGTATTATAAAACCGTAAGTAATAATTTTGAAAGTTTATGGCAATAATTGATCACTTTGTATCCAGTCTATGTATTTATAAAAATTCTGGAGATCTGTCATCTCTTGGTTCTATTCACAGGAATTACCCTACCCAAATTTTTTCAACATCCTAACTCTTGAGAGTATTTAAGACTCCTACACTGAAACATGTCTTTGCTTCATGTAAAAAAATTCAACACTTAGGGCACCTGGGTGGCTCAGTTAGTTAAGTGTCTGCCTTCAGCTCAGGTCATGATCCCATGGTCCTGGGATCAAGTCCGACATCAGGCACCCTGCTCACTGGGGAGCCTGCACCTCTTTTTCCTCTCCCCCAGCTTGTGTTCTCTCTTGCTCACTCATTCTCTCAAATAAATAAAATCTTTAAAAAAATTTCAACATTTAGCAAGCAGATATTAACTTATTGATATCTGTTAGCTCTAATAACTATTTATCTAATATATCTACAAAGAGCATTGAATTTAATAGAAATAGTAATATTTAATAATATGATATTTAATAATATATATATGGTACAAAGAGAAACTACTATGACAATGTCTATTATAAAGTATAACTTCTAACTCCCTGTATGCAGAAACTACTCTAAGCTATACAGATACCATAGCCAGAATAAGACTGAAGACAGTTACACTGGAGTATAACTATCTTCAAACTTGTCATGGTTTCAGCCATGTCCTTGAAGGGTGAGGCCATTGTAAGGAAGAGCTGGGGCTTTTGGAATGAAACTTTTAAAAATAGAACCCAAGACACATGTGATATATCTTAAAGTGTTCTTTATAGTGAATTGTATTTTAGGGATATTAAGAAAAAAGGTTTATTGCTATATAAGTTCCTTTGTGGGCCTTCCAAATAAAAGGAAAGAGTAGATCAAAGGCCATGTTATCCAACCTCAGGAATTAACTTCTCAGTAATTCCCAGGAATGTAAGACCTATGGAGGAAAAAAATTAGTGCTATTTAAAAAATTACCATCTTTTATCAAAAGCAACTCTATTTCCATTATTTTTTATAGAAGTGTTCATTGTTTTTATTATTTTATAGTAAAGTAAACATGTAGGGAGTAAAAAACTGACATTCTCAACAGACTTGAGAAGTTGGAGCCATCCTGGCTACATATGTTAGGTAGCTGTCTTCTGCAGCCTTTTCCAGACCACTGGAGTATTAGCCAATACCCTGAAGCAACAATGTACATCCTATCTCAGAGTTATTTAAGATTTTTTTTTTTATTTGACAGACAGAGATCACAAGTAGGCAGAGAGGCAGGCAAAGAGAGAGAGAGAGGAGGAAGCCGTCTCCCTGCTGAGCAGAGAGCCCTATGCGGGACTCGATCCCAGGATTCTGGGATCATGACTTGAGCCGAAAGCAGAGGCTTTAACCCACTGAACCACCCAGGTGCCCTCAGAGTTATTTAAATGTGAAAATTGTACATTGTACAATCCATGCAATATGGTGGTTTGCTAAAAGAGAAGCTTAACATTTTTAAAGGACTAATTTATTCCCAAGAAGTAGTTTACACTTCAAAGACCAGCTCTAGATTCATTTCCAATACTGAGTATTTTCATAGCTTAGAGTCCTTTGTACTAATCACACTAAACTTATTAATAAGAAAAGGAAAAGTTCATAGAATTTTTGAGTACTGAATTAGCATATAATAAGATATCAGTGGAGATAAGTTGAAATTAATATAAGAATTTGGTGATAAATCATCATTTGCATAACCAAGCAAATAAATTCAGCCTGTAGACTAAAAATAGAGCCATGTTTAAATTGAAAAAATAATAACGTTTGTTCAATAATAACATTTGTTTGGAGTCTTTATTTGGATAATACAGCAGCATTTAGATCCATATTTTGGAGTTTGTATTCAATTTAAAATGCTATACTAAAAAGAGAAACTGAAAATATCTTCTCTAACAACATTTAAGTAAAACAAGACTTTCAAATTTCAAAAGAAAATTAATATAAACACTGTGTAATGCAAGAATTTTCACCTCAATCAAAAAAGAAAAGTAAGAAGAAGTCTTACCTATTACCTCCAAACTTACTGCTTCTTTTCCATGAATATAAATAAGTATTTATCCCCAAATCCCCTTTTTCCAATTACTGTTAAATATTTGCTATTACTTTATATAATTTGTGTTCTTGGCCCTTTAAATTTATCTGATTGCTTCAAAGTATGACAGTAACTGAATACGAAATGGCTAGGTAAATGCATTATGGACTTTCAGCCAGCTTGGAAGGGTGCTTGTTATTAAATCTATACCCAAGGAATATGTGACTCCTGTGGGTTCCTCCAGGCTTCCTCAGAGTTCCAGTCCCTCTCTTCTACAGTTACTTTTAATCTTGTGAAAAGACTTCCAGGAGCAGGTTGTAGTAATGGATCTCCTCCAGACTACTCAGGGCACAGGTGTCCCTAAGAGGACACCGGAGAACCAGCAGATGTGCTGTCACTGAGTCCTGGGATGCTGAGAGACCCAAAGGCAAGCATTTGGCACTTTATTCCAGGGCTTGATGACAGCCTCAATGTACCAGAGAAGCCAAGTCATGCTCCTGCCCAAAGA